AACAGCCCTCACCACTTGTCATGTATGTGGGCTCTTGCCATCGGCAACGAGTCATCCGGCAAGACATACTGTACCTACTTGTACGATGTCTGCATAGGTAGGTATTGGGCCTTCAGCTGACTACATTCCTCGTTTGGGATAAATGCCGCTTACTCAGCGGCATTGTCCCAAAGCAACAACCCCGAGCCACCGAGCCAACCCGGGTTTGTCCAAGTTTGGAGGAGCTTCTCCGAAATTGCACACCTAACGGCGGCGTTCTGAGCCAAACATCTCCTACACCAGCAAGCATCCCCCCAAAAAAGTCATATTACTGAACGTTCCCGCCATCAATATCTCGACTGATAGATATGCTTGCCCTCCTGCTCAGGTACAGGTTCGCCTGGCCCAGTATGTAAAGTCTATCTCAACACTCGCTCACCCCAATTACGCCCCATCTCGAATCCCGCGTGCAGATTTGACCTCCCTGGACTCTGACCACCAGTGACTACTCCCTGCACTGAGGTAGGTAGGTAATAATAGTGTGCAACTACATAGTAATAGCTCACAGGGCCGTCGAATCTTCTCACGCTCCACATGCCTCTGGGGGGCTTATCAAGCATCGGCGCAACTATGGACTTTGTGCACGTTGCCAAGCCCGTCCTTAAATGAGTCACTAATACCGCTAGTTGTGGCCGCCCTCGAGCTAGACCAATGCGGTCCAAAAGTATCCGTATCCCTACGGTGGTATCGAGATGGGCGGGTGAACAATGGAAAGGTCCGTCTTATTTCCCGTCCCGCCTCTCGGAGACTTTCCCTTGCGAATTAGCGCTTCGCAGCCTGAGCCTCCCGCGCGCCCTTCCGCCGCCGCAAGTCAGCCGCTACACTCCATTGCCCGCCTATCTCTCCTCTCCGCCTTCTATCGGCCGACGATTCGGGAAAGGGAGAGCGTTTGCCCGTGTGAGGGTGTCATATAGCCTAATTAACGCCACCAACACCTGTGCACCGTCTCTCACGCGACTTGCCGAGTGAGACGGGAAACGCTTGATATGCGCCAGCTTTCGCTAATGACGCCACTAAACAAAATGTCCGTCCGTCTCGCTCTCACTCAGATGCGCGCCTCTACCGAGGTGCCCCGCGTAACGCCGCGTGTGCAAGCACATGGCCTCGACACACGGACAAACGCACACCCAGCCTGCTGGTTGACCCTCAGTCCCAAGTGTTGCGATGCGAAACATGGACGCGAAAGCCAACTCTGAAGCATCCCTCGCACGCTGCAGCATGCGCCCTGCACCCTCGATTCGAAACAAATGACTTGCCTCTTCCTTATCCACCCGGATGAACGACGGCACTTCCTTCTTCTACTTTTGACCAGCATCCCGGCAATGGCCCGGCATTGGCGCGTTACCGGGCGACTCCTTGTCCATCGAACTTGGTCAGGGCCAGTTCTACTATCGGCAACTGACCTGTTACGTGTTCTAGAAGATGTTTCCGTCACCGAACTGCCCCCCTCCCCCCCCGTGTCCTGCCCCATTCTAGCCTGTATTGCTCTTACCTGCGCTCTCACTTCGCTTCAGAAGCGTGATATCCTTTCGTGACATGGCAACCGGAGAAACTACGTGCTTGGCTGTGTGTGCGTGGGCGACAGCGTGAGAGTGAGGTCCTCCGGTCGAAGCCGAGTCTGTCTTACTCACTCGAGTAGGACGAGGGAGCGATCTGCGCCGCCAACCCCTCCCGTCCCAAAGGGTCGTCCTCAGTCGACAAAAAGCAATTCCGCCATCCGGAAGCCGACTCTGGGTCTCGACCCTGTGTTCAGCACGTCCCATGCTGCCCTCATGGTTACCGGACGTTGTCGGACCCCGAAAAACAACGACCTTTGCGCCGTTGAGTGTTGACCGGACGTCTGTGAAACTCTCTTGCCGCCCAAAAAGCAACATCGGCAGTTGTACTGAGACCCACCGAGGGGGTCCAGCAGATAGATCTCGCCGGGGATGGTGGGGCCTGAGAGCCAACTCTCGTGTGATTTGCAAAGTTGACCAAACACGCCGTCTGGCGGTCTTATGATTCCCTCACTGGCCACGCGGGCAGTTACTGAACTACCAGCGGCATCACTGATAGATAGCTCATGCATCTTGCCCTTGGTTCAAAGAAACAAGGGCCAAAGGTCTCAAAGAAATCTCTCGACATTGATTTCCTCGCCTGCCAGTTCGAAAAGAGCGGCACGGCGGACTTCTTCTGGTTCAAGCGGTCAAGTGGCCGAATGTTCGTAGCCGACTTGTCGACATCGAAAAAAAGCAGCGTCGGCTTTGGCGACGTATTTAGGTATGAAGAGATGAAGTTGGCCCCCGTAACAGCCCCCGTTGACGAAGACGGACCGGTGTAGAGGCGGTCACTCCATCGAAGTAAAGCCGTAGAGGCCCCAGTTAGGGTGGCAGTTGAAGATTTGCACTCAAAACGTATTCGTCACCTTCAGCGGCGACTTTGACTATGGGAGCCAAAACCCAGATGATGATGTTGGATCCGTTCCACGAGATCAGCACCCTGCCGTCCGTGGTACTACAACAAATCTTGTAATCTTCCTGCAGCGGCCCGCTTACCTCGCGCCGCTTCTCCAAGTCGGCAATGTTTTGGTACGAAGGCGGCGAGCGACGCAGCAGCGTCGTGACCTTTTGCTCGTCGAGGTCGACCGGCCCCAGTGCCATAGTTTCGATAAGCGATCGGTCTCGGTCCAGGGGAGTAGCTCAGGGCGTATCTCACGTTGGCACGCGTGTTTTTGCGGATGATAGCCCTGACGAGGCCCGAGATCGTGCATCCGCCATACAGTCGATCTGGGCCGCGTTTCCGGCCTTTTGGTGAGCATTTCGCAACCCTACCTCGGCAGCATCGCGGGGTTGGGCAGCATCAATCTCCGGAATCTTTGGGGAGCTCGTTATTCTCCGGATTGATGAGTCACTCGTAGCGCCGGAGAGCCCTCATGTTCCCTAGCATCGGCAATTGGTCCTGTGCATTGTGTTGTTCCGCGACCATACCTCCCCCGTGGTTCGATACTGTATTCGTCACTCGCGTATATCTCCTCTGATTTGGCATCACCATTTTGAGGGCTCATTCCCTTCCTCTTCCTCCTCTTCTGAGACGGCATCATATGCAACAATCTCGTCAACGAGTTCGTCCTTGGAGTTCCAGCCGCCGCCGCCGCCTCTGTGCCAACGGTTCCGGGCTCGAGGAATAGGTCTTCGGCGTCACCCATCCAGGCTACTTCCCACGCAAAGGCGAAGACGATTCGTGCGAGCGGGTCTGGTCGCGGAGGATGTTCGAGAACGGCGTGTTCCGTCCCGCCCTTGGCCAGCGTTGGGCATTGTGCATAGTCAACCGTGTAGATCTATACAACTCACCTCGTGGTCATCATGTCATAACAGCCCGTCTCCCGAGGGCCTCGTTGAGGTATTTCTGATCGCATCTTTCGGAACAAGGAGCATTGCCGAGGTGTTCAGGCCCAACTGGAAGCACTGGCCGCACTGTAAGCCTGAAATTGCTGTCTTCTTTGTAACCTCTGCTTGCTCACGCTATCGTTGTCGCTCTCTGTCACTTATACAATCACCACCTACTCACTCGTAGCAACCCCACCCACTTATACCCTCCTCCCTCTCACCTCAACTCTCGCCTTAACTCCTATTTTAACTCTCGCCTCGAGCAGGTCGAGAGATTATGGCCAGCGAGTTGAAGACGACTTCAAGCTTGCAGCTGCCAGCTCGGCAAACAAACAACAATAGCCTGTCTAGGAGGATCATGTGGCTTCCGCCCCAGCACACCATCCGAGAACCGCTAGGCAGACGGCGGTTTCGCTGACCTGTGATACGACCGGGCTGAGGGGCGGCCCCTCGGCGATCGCCGTGGGTTTAGTGAGGTGGCGGAGACCCAAGTATTGTGTCTTTTAGTCAAATGAGATGAGATGTAAAAGATATCTTTCTCTCGGTCTTCCCTTTCCGCCTCTCTCAAGAGTGCGGTGAGAGGGGGAAAGGATGGAACTAGGAACAAAACAACAGGGCTAGAGGCAGCCTCGCTCGGCAGATTCGTGCTGCGCGATCTGCGCTTATCGAGGTCATGTAGTGAGATGCAAGCGCTTTCTATCTTATTAACGCGTCCGCAGATTCATGGGACGGCAATCAACCAGATGAATTGAAACCCAAGCAAGAAGCGAGGACAATGGTGTGAGGGTGAAACGGCCATCGCAAAGAACGAAATAACATGTGGAAGAACTGTCATCTCCTCGGAAAGGCAGTCAGTGAAATAAGATCGAAGCTTCGACACCCACCGGAAAACCTCCCGCTCAGTAGAGGGTGAGCACAGCTGCCACATCGAGCGCTCTCATGCTTCAACAAAGTCGTCGGCCTTGGTAGACATCATTTTTTGAGAATTGACCTGCTCCGTAATTAACACCGTTGACAGAAAGGCAAGGGCTCCAATATCAACTTTTAAGCTAAAACGACGGCAAGTAGTCATGCTTTGAGATTGTCATGGTAAGCTCTGGAGTCCTGGAGTGCTTGTTTGTAACGGCCCCGTCGACTAAGTATCCTGGAAAAAGACCATCGAGTTGATGAACTGACGAAAAGTGATAGAATATTGATGGACTGGGAGTTGTCCAGTACATTGCCATGTTCTCGTGGTCGTCGTCTCGCAACGATAAATATCGTGACTGTGGGGAGTGTTTGCCTCTTGAGTGATGAACAACGCTGGCAACCTCAACATCCAGCAATGGATTTAAACCGAATATGGCCGGTTGGCCCAATGGCAAGGCGTCTGACTACGATCATGAATGGTATCAGGAGATTCTGGGTTCGACCCCCAGGCTGGTCAATCTTTTGGAAAAATTCTTCATTGACCCGTTTGGTGTGCATTTTTGCGGATGCGGGCCCGATTAAACGGGTCTCCGGGGGGCCAGGGCTTCGTATCCCGGGCCGGGATTGGTTGTCGACGGATGAAAGTCACAGAAAGACGTCCGCATTGGCTCATCACTTGTCCTTGGACAACCGAAACAGGATTTATGTATACAAGTTAAGTCAAGCTCATGTCCCTCGGTTTCACTCAATCACACAAGATTTTTTTTGTCGCTTGCCGGGCTCGGCCGGTGCCCATCGGCCCAATGTCCCACTGGGCTCCGAAGCTTAACTCCGATAAGTACGTATCTCCTCCCAGTGACTCGGTCTCACTCGTAAAATATTTCCCCGTCCACTTACGAACAACACCAAGCCATCATGTCAACCCCCGGGGCAACAACACGAGCACCGATATTTGATAGTCTGACGCTCATCATCACGACGTCACCAACACCCTCGGCCCCCTCTACTGAGCTTCTAGACGCGGTATTTCAATCTATCCGCCTCTGCTGCAGCGACCTGCTGGCATGTCGCATCATCGTTGTCCTCGACACCTTTGAGCGCGTTGGCGAGGTCGCTAGGTTGAAGAAAGGCCAAGTCACGGAAGAAGGAGCGGCGGCGTATCTCAGATACAAGGAGAACGTCAAAGACCTGGTGTTGAGAGTATATGATCAACCCGACAGCAAGGATGAGTTACTCCAAGAGCAAGGAGAAGCCGAGTATGGCTACAGCGGCCGAGCGGCATCCGTCACGACAAACTTTGCAACTTACACGGTGAGCCGGACGAAAGACGGACGGGTTTCCTTCGTGGAGCCATCGGAGAGGCTGGGGTTCGGGCTAGCTGTGCGGACGGCTCTGAGGATAACGACGACGCCCTACGTGTGGATCCATCAGCACGACTGGACAATCGTCTACGATATCCCTGTGGCGTCGATCCTGGACGTCATGGAGGCCAACGACACGGATGAAGAGGGTCCTGTGAAGTACATCTGCCTACCATCGGTCCGGATGCTGCAGTATGCCGAGAGCGCCCACGTCCAAGACTTTCCGCATTTACGGGCATTGACAGCCAAGCTGAAGAATGACTTCGTTCCGCAGTCGCATCCGACGATCAGAGTGCCGCTAACGCCCATGTTCTTTTGGCATGATAAACCGCACATCGCATCCACGCAGCACTATTTATCCAGGGTGTTCCCGACACGATTGGCGATACCGAGAGGCGCTTTCATAGAGGACACAATCGGACACCGCGCGAGGACGCAGATGAAGGAGCAGGGTATGTGGACTCGATGGGGCTGTTGGATGTTCTATCCCGGTCAAGGAAAGCAGCTATGCCTTAGACATCTGGACGGACGACGATGGAGGGGCGCGGAGGCAGAGATGAACATGAAAGAGATATATAGACAGACCCATAGAGAAAGCAAAATAAGAGGCGCTGATTAGACTGAAATCGATAGTGAGCGTATTAAAGCATGCCGCGAAAAATATTTGTGTGTAAAGGATCCTGTCAGCCAATCATGTGTGGGAAAAGACGGTCCCACGACGAGCTTCGCGGAAGGGCGCAGTTCGCACAGAGAAAAATCGCCACTTTGAGTAACTTAGGCGCCAGCCTGTCTTGGGACACGATAGGTGCCTGGAACCCCCCCCCCCCCCCCCCCCCTAGTCAAGCTGAGGTGGCACTGCATTCACGTGATATGCAGGCTGCAGCCTGATAACCCAAAAGGACTTGCTGATGTTCGAAATGAAGTTGACTTCTACAATACAAACAACCATGTTGAGCTTCCAAAATCCACCTTTCGAAGTAGACCACCAGTTGCTGCCGGACTCGGGGGTTGCGAGGGAGACGGCTCATCATGTACCTGGGCATCCGCGCATTCGTCTAGATGACCAGGAGAAGGTCCGCCAGTTCTTGACTACGGAGTTCTGCAACGACGATTTGGATGCAATGGCCGACAAACTGTGGTGGATGTCGAAGCAGGACAGCCGGAACATCTCCCCGCTTCACCGTCAGATCGTGAAGCGCCGTACAATCGTTATTACGGAGGACCCGAAGCTTCATCTGGTGTGGATCAACGACCGGATCTTCATCAAGCCGCTCCCGCGATACCTTGGCTCGCATGCCTTCTGGAGGCATCACCTTGGTGCTGAAAACGGGTCGAAGGGAAACGAAGGCCGGGTTCGGCGGGCGGCGTTGGGATTCATCCGGACTTATCATTACCTGATCAAATACGAATGTGACTTTCGCATCGCCCAGGATCACAGCCTTAGTCTCATCCCCGCCGACATTACGTGGACGCAGTTCTGCAACTTTACGTCGCGCCTTGCCGACATCCAAGACAGAGATGTTTCCCAGAGGTACAACTACGGGGAGATCCGCCTGACGCGACTAAACTTTTACGCGCCCCTCTTGCTTCGGAAATCGCACTTCCAGAGGGTGGAGTATCAGTACGGGCCGTATCTGGCGCGATTCTACGTCCCCATTCTGTTTGTCATGGGTGTCATTTCGGTTGTTCTGAGCGGGTTACAGGTTATCATCGCGGTTGGCGAGGGGAGCGGAGGAGGTGATGGCGGCGGCGCCACCGCCGACAATGTTGCTCTTTGGTTCAGCGTCCTGATGATTTTGGTATCCTGCGGCGTCCTTGTAGCTCTTGGGGCGCTCGTTGCATACAAAGTGGTGAAAGAGTGGAACGTGGCGATACGCGATCGGCGTCGGCTGATGAGGGAACGGCACAAGGATAAGACACTGGCGGCAGCATGCCCTTGAAGGCTTGAAAGAGAGAGCATATCAACCTAGTGGTTCTTGTACGATCGTTATCGACACTGGCGATCTAATGCTTGCTGATCAGGACAGGTAGGACTTGAGGGTAGTACTGTGACCTGCAAGGAAATGATCATTGCCCGAACTCCAAACCCAACCTGAAAGCTGTTCAAGCCAAACATATCGATATAAAGGGGCATTTAACAGTTAGAATGCTATTTTCTTCACGTGTTGCTTAGAACACTGCCTAGAGCACACAGAAGTGAAAGGGAAAGACACTTGAGGCACGTACTTTAGCGCTAGAATAGATGGAGAATGTTTCCAACACGGATGTCTATTCTCTGCTTCAAGTGTTACCTAGGCTGGGATTCATCTCCACAGCCAGTTTGAGGCGTGTTTGTAATAGGTCTCATACCACAAGTTCTTGACACAGCGTGAGGGCCTGACCATGTTAGCCAACCCGAGGTTCGATATTGACCACTTGGCACCAATCTTGGAGACCGCATTTTCATGATTTTGATCAGTGATTCCTACAGACACTTCCACTAGAGCCTTGCCCATCGATACATGACACAGCTCCGAAAGACCCCGCCATCTGAGCGGAACATCGTGAGTTCCCAACTTGCCATGCCCTGGTGGTCTAGCGGTATGATTCTTCCTTAGGGCTGTTCTCAAACAACTCGCATGGAAGAGGTCCCAGGTTCGATCCCTGGCCAGGGCCTTTTTTTTCTTCCGCCTTGCAGCAGGTTGAGCTATATTTTGTGCAATTATTGCAGAAGCCTGTCGACTTGGAGCGTCGGTCCTTGTATAGGGAAAATGGACCTTCGGGCGACGGCCGGAAATACCCCTGTCTATGCTCGGCCGGTCTCGGCCTCGAATGCGGGGGAATCGGGTCAAGATTCGGGGCGGATATCCGACAGTAACCACCCGTGTTATCTGACCATTCTCCTATCTGACGGATACGTTCCCGACCCTGGAGGAATCCGGCCTACATAGCCGATTCGTTGGCAATAAAGTCTTCTTAGGTCGTTGTCGTGTTTTCCACAACCCATTCAGATTCAGAAACCACCGGCCATCATACTCGTCTCACGGCGCCAACTTGCTAGTCTGTCCGCATAAATCCGCCATAATGTTCCGCACCAAGGTCCCCCCCAGCGGCATTTGGGCCCCCGCAGTAACTCTCTTCAACCCCGATACCGACGAGCTTGACCTTGAGGCGCAAACAAAGTACTACTCCTACCTCTCCAAGACGGGCCTCGCCGGCCTTGTCATCCTCGGCACAAATGCTGAACAGTTTCTCCTGACCCGCGAGGAGCGCAAGGCCCTTATCGCCACCGCCCGCAAGGCGACCGGTCCCGGCTTTCCCATCATGGCCGGCTGCGGCATGCACTCGGTCAAGCAGGTCCTCGAGCTCATCAACGACGCCAAGGAGGCCGGCGCCGACTCGGCGCTCGTTCTGCCCCCTGCGTATTTCGGCAAGCAGACGACTCCCGCCGTCATCGACCGCTTCTTCAACGAGGTCGCCGAGAAGACCCCTCTGCCCATCGTCATCTACAACTTCCCCGTCGTATGCAACGGCATCGACCTCGACAGCAGCACCATCGCCAAGCTGGCAAAGCAGCACGAGACCATCGTCGGCGTGAAGCTCACATGCGGCTCCGTCGCAAAGATTGTCCGCCTGTCCGCCGAGCTGCCGGCAGACAAGTTCGCCACCTACGGCGGCCAGTCTGACTTCCTCCTCGGCGGCCTCGCCTCAGGCAGCGCGGGCTGCATCGCGGCCTTCGCCAACGTCTTCCCCCGTGTGACGGTGCAGATCTACAAGCTGCACGCCGAGGGCAAGATCCAGGAGGCGTTGGAGCTCCACCAGAAGGCCGCCATTGCCGAGCAGGCCACCAAGGCGGGCATCGCGACCGTCAAGTACGCCGCCTCCGTTTTCACGGCGCCGCGCGCCGGGTTGAAGGGCCAGGAGAAGCTGTTCCAGCCGCGGAGCCCTTACTTGCCCGCGAGCGAAGACCAGAAGAAGGCGGTGCACGACCTGATGGATGAGCTCAACAAGGTTGAGGAGGAACTTGCGGGTTCCAGCTGAGTTGTTTGGCTTTCAGCAATTAAGCATGCGTCTGCCCCGAGATCGAGGTGCTCTGCACGGCAGCTCGTTAAAGTCGGTGGACGTCATACGCGAGCAAAGGCCAAACTATGTCGTTGAGTAATAGCTAAAAGGCCGGCAGTTGCAGAGCGGAACGAAGTAGCGGGACGAAGTAGCATGGACGGACTGGCTTAATGAGCTTATGATATCATAGATATATACAGCATCGGATTTCACAACAAATTATGATCGTGGCCAGGATTAGTCTCAAGTTGATCAACTAGAATTCGAGTTAGCTGACATCAATGCGAACGAGAACCTCCGAATGAAGCCAGGTGCGGGATTCAGCAAATATTATCAGTGCCTGATCCGACGTGCCAAGGGATTTGCGTCAACATCCCAGGTCAAGTGAGGTGACATCGGACAAGCCAGTTGTAATCGGAAACCTTGCAACCGGACGTTACGGCTTCTGATTCCTGGAAACCAGCTATATAGTGTCAAACCTTGTGTTGCGCCACAAGATGTCGATACACTGTCAACACTGCAAAACCACGAGCAGTCGATGGTACAAGCAGAAATGCAGCTTATGCCGACTGTCTCAGATGGTCAAGATGAGGGTAGGGATAAGAACAATGAACTTACCAGGCAATCAAACGATGCATTCCTCACAGCAAACAGTCAAAGAACCCCTGAGGCTGCACGAAAGGATAAACCTCGCAATAGGTCAGCCACAGCACAGAGCCATTATATCAAACAAGGGAAACGGCCGGCAAGGCAAGACGGCATTGCGAGTCTCACAGACGCCATACATGACATTGACGGTCATGGTGTGCGGAGAGTGGCATATCATTGCATGCGTCCACATGCCATCTGGACCTCCCGTGCCACAGCCACAAAACGAAGCGGGCGTCGCAATAGAAGGCCCATCCGAAAACATCAGGAGAGATCAGCGGCTAGACATGCGCCTAGCAAGCTTCCAGAATCCTACAGCCGCTTTTAAAAGAGCATGCTGGAGGGCACGGTGGTTCGCCTTTCCAGGAGTGTGGGTTTCTTCGGTCTGAACGAGGCGATGTTCCGGATGAGCGAGACCCATTCTAACCCGACGCGACCGCCTTCAGGGACCATCCGTCCGTGTCTATGGCCGCATGCGTCAATATACTGTTCCAGCACACCGTGGCGGCCAGAAGTCTTGGTTCAACCGCATCTTCCGACAGAGGCAGTGAGGATCTGGCCAAGGTGAAACGGTTCTCTCCGTACGACCCTCTTTCCACGCGTGCGAGCGCCCGTCGGAGTGAGACATGTACAATGAAAAGGAGGGTTATCTGACTGGTGTTTCTATTTGCCTGCCGGAACACCGTTTCCGCGTGACAGTCGCGCCTTAAGGCGTACATCGTGCTATGCCGAATGCACCCAGACGGACCCACGCGAGCGCAACATGTGTTTCCATTGTGCGATCCCATAAGGACCCCGAGCCTCCCACACCTGCTCACCAACCCTTTCGGACTCGGCCTCCAGATTTTGTACCCCCTTGCTTACAGGCTTGAAACCACATCAGCGATCAACTCGGGCCTTGCATCAATATTAGACGGAAATCTTGATATGCAAGTGGCCTCGTCCACCCCTGTAGCGGCTTCCTCGTCGGCGTGATTCGGCCAACATGGCGTCCTTCTACGATCTTCTAGGAAAAGCCGACAACCTCCACGAACCTGTACCGCCATTGAACCACAAACCGGTGATACTTGGCTTCGTGATTTCGTTTATGGTGAGTTACAGACGAGGCTGGGCGTTGGCTTGTGCTATCATACTTAATCGCCGACGCAGATATTAGCGATATTATGTGTGATGCTAAGGATATGGTGCCGTATATTCGTCATGCGTGCCTCTGGCTGGGACGACGTCTTTCTGATTCTTGCGGTGATCTCGCTATCGATCGGAACCATTGGCATCTGCTTTGGTAGGTGATTTTCTCTCATATTTACAAAGAGAACAACAACTGATAGCACTCTGACTCCAGCAACCGATCATGGACTTGGCCAGCACCTGCTTTACCTTGCGCCCACAGAGATCGTAGAGTACATGAGGGTGATTCCCCTACCGCCTTTTCGTACTCAGTTGCGCTCTCTGACACATGAAATAGATCTTCTACGTTTGCAATGGAACGCTGCCCACCTCTACTTGTACAATCAAAATTGCCATTCTTCTGCAATACCTTCGCATCTTCGAGCGCGGTACCAAAACCCGCACCTTTACCATCTTCATCTTGGTTATCACGGGATCGTGGGGTATTGCGTATACGTTCCTGGCATGGGTTCCATGCATACCTGTTGCTTCATACTGGGATTGGACCATACCGTCCCACGCTCGTTGGGGTTTCGGATCTCAGACTGCTGAGGATTTGGTCTGGATATACGCAGTTCATGGGACCACCAATATGATTCTGGACTTCGTCATTTACGCCATACCGCTACCATTATACTTCAACAACAAAGCCAACGAGAAATCTCGTAAGAGCGTTCTCTGCTTATTCCTGCTAGGAACCGTGTAAGTTGGGGGATTTCGAGCCAATAGCAGGTAGATCCCATCCCGCTGACCAGAATCCACAAGTGTCTTGATGTTGACTACCTGGCGCTTCGTCGAACTGATGAAATCCCGGGTCGGCACATATCCCACATTAGACATTACGTGGTACTCGCCGCTGCCGATGACCCTCGCCATTCTCGAGATCGATGTCGCCGTCATCTGCGCCTCGTTACCCGTCTTCTGGCCTGTGCTGCAAGACAGCATGGGCGCTATCTTTGTCACTCACGAGGTCAAGGTCACCACGGAAACCGTCGACACGCTCGCCGACGACGACGAATGCCTCGAGATGGCGGCTCCGTATACGCTATGCCACCAGACGTCCGCGACGAGGTTGAACGACACGGCCGGCCTGTTCGACCCCGAGACCCACGGGGCAAGCGCACCGGCCCAGACCAGCCCGGACCCGAGCCCGAAAAAGGGGGCGGGGATAATATTCGGGGCTTACATGCAGGGGAAGACGACGTGCGACGTGGAAGCATTGAAGGTTGGGTGAGCTGATTCGCCCGTGGCGCAATGAACATACACTTGGCATCTCATGACTTTCCGATGTACAATGACCATTTTTTCAAAGAGTTTCATCGCCGGCGAGGGCGATGATCGGCGTACAGCTGTCGACTTCAGCATAGGCGAATACATATGGTTGCGCTTATCGACCATCGTGATTCTGATCGCAACGGAACTCCGAGGTCCTGGCCAAACTAGATCGAAAATGGGTTGCCAGCCAGGGCAGCCCGAATCTACTTAATGCAGTACACCCCATGGTTTGAAGAAAGCACGCACATCACCTCGCATGTGAAGATTTCCGAATCCGTATCGTTGCCCACAAGCCTCATCGCCGCATACGGCAAGCCGCATTAGCGACAAATTCCTGCGCTAGGCTTGGAACGTCGCGTCTAATCTGCGTGGCCAACTCTTGTCTTTCATGGTGTGAAACATACTATTGACAATGGCGCCCAGATGGACGAGCTGCCCTCAGGAGTTCAATAGGAGAAATCGTCCAACATTGGTACAATGTTTGTGATAGCGGCGAAGTGATGGGCTGACGAGGTTTGCAAGGCGATCCAAATTACTCGAATAGTTGCTCCGAAGAAGAGGGAATGGATGAGTCAAGTGGGGGGGGGGGAGCTCGAGAGAGCTGTTTTCTTTTCCTTCTGACGTCAATGTCCTGGCAACAGTTTGACCTAGTAGTAAGTTGAATTCCAAAAACTCCAAGTATGCTTCAAATCATCACATGTCCTTGCTCGTCTAGTTTGCCTCAATGGGCGCACCCCAGGCACCTCCTCCAGGTGATTGGACGATAACCCTCTCGCCCGCACGAAGCTTTGTCGTCGCCTTGGCACCCAAATTAACAGTCCTGTCCTTTCCGGTCATATCATCCCGAACGATCACCAAGTTCAAGCCAGCTTCTCCATCGCCACCGCCCTCCATGCCGTACGGCCGACGGCTTCTCCGCTCACTCAGGATCGAGCACTGGACTGGCACGCGGAACTCGATTTCGCGGATGGTGCCGTCGCCGCCCCTGTTCCGACCCTTGCCACCCGAGTTCTCCCTGAGCTGGAAGCGCCTCAGGATGCACGGGTACCGCTTCTCAAAGACCTCGGGGTCCGTGATGCGGGTGTTCGTCATGTGGGTGTGGACGCCACTCTGGCCGATCCAGGTCGGGCCGGCACCGGCGCCGCCCGCAATGGTCTCGTAGTAGCCGAAGCCGTCCTTGTGCTCGCCGGTGACGGGGTCCTTGCCGCCCGTGCCAAAGGTCAGGTTGTTGCAGCAGCCCTGGCTGGCGGCAGAGGCGCGGAACGCCTTCAAGACCACGTCCGTGATGCGCTGCGAGGTGAGGACGTTGCCGCCGACCACGGCAAGGCCGGCGCCGGGATTGAGGATGCTGCCTTCGGGGATGACAATGTCGATGGGGGCCAGGCAACCCTGGTTCAGGGGGATCTGGGAGGAAATGAGGCCACGCAGGCAGTAGATGATGGCGGAGTGTGTGATGGCGATGGGGGCGTTGGTGTTGCCGAGGACATGCGGGCCCGTGCCGGTGAAGTCAAAGGTAGCGGAGCCGTCGGAGGCGATTGTGATCTTGAGAGAGATGGGAGTACCATCGTCCATGTAGTCCACTGCAAGGAGCGGCTCAGGACCAAACTTGGCAAGCGTGGATTGCATCAACTCACGCACAGCGTGCTCGGCTGTGTGCTGAATTGCATACATGTATCGGTGGACGGTCGCGAGGCCGTTTTCCGTGATGAGGGCCCTGATCAGGGAGATGCCCTTGGCGTTGGCAGCAATCTGAGCGTTGAGGTCGGAAAGGTTGTCTTGCAGTCGACGGGTACCCGAGCAACCCTCGTATTGCGCGGGCTCCTCGAGGAGCAGGCGACGGACCTCATCCTCGTTGAAGCGTCCCTCGCTGACCAACTTTGTTGACTCGATAGCAGCACCTTCTTGCCAAAGAGCGTACGACGTCGGTGGCATGGAGCCGGGTAGGATACCGCCGATATCCGCGTGGTGCCCCCTTGAAGCGACGTAGAAGGCCAATTCTTGTCCATCAAAGACTGGAGTAATGACGGTGATGTCAGGCAGATGAGTACCGCCGCAGGACGGGTGGTTTGAGACGAGAACATCACCGTCCCGAAGCTTGCCCTTCCAAAGCTCGTGCTGATAGCGTACGGCAAACTGCATGGACCCAAGGTGCACAGGGACGTGAGGGGCGTTGGCGACAAGGCCACCATCGGGACTGAAGATTGCACAAGAAAAGTCGAGTCGCTCCTTAATGTTGGTCGACACGGCGGTCTTCTGCAATGTGCGCCCCATCTGCTCAGCAATCGACATGAAGCGGTGACCGAAGACGGTCAGTTGGACAGGGCTGAACTCCTCCTGTTCGCCATCTTTCTTGGAGACTCTCTCTTCCGGCTCACGGTCAATGACAACATAGCTCTCGAGTACCGTGGCGGTCGTGAACGGGGTGACGAGAATCGTCTGTGTGTTGTCAATGATCAGGGCCGGGCCGGATATGCGAGCGCCAACGGGAACAGCGTGGAGTTGGTAGACGGAAGTGTCGAGATGTCCGTGACCTTCAAAGTAGACCTGGCTGGTGGCGCTAGGCTTGGGGCTGGGAGCAGAGGAGCCTTCAACAGCCTTCATTTGGGCAAAGGGGCTCTTCTCCACCTTGGCGCGAGCTGCGCCAGTGGCTCGAACGCGGATGTCGTCGACAATGATGGCCTTCTCGGGGAAATGGAAGCCAAACCCGCGACGGTGGGCATCCTCGAACTCGGTCTTAAAGTCCCAGTCGGCTCCCTTCAAGATCATGAGAGAGCTGCTTGATCCAGCGTATCGCATGTTGAGGTAGGTGTCGTGCGTGATGAGGTCTTCGGGGAAGCCCTGCTTCATCAGCTCCAAGGAGGCCTGGGAAGAGAGCTCCTCGAGCTGCTTCTGGATGCTGCCCTTGGTCTCCTCGGAGTAGGTGATGGCGGACGGCTTCTGGATCTCGTGGACAACATCTGCGAGTGACATGCCATACGCCGAAAGGATAGAGGAGTACTTGTGGATGATGACGCGGGAGATACCGAGAACGGTCGCGACAGAGCAGGCGTGCTGACCGCCGGCGCCGCCAAAGCAAGCCAAATGATGCGCACCAGCCTCGTATCCACGAGCTTCCGTCAACGCACGGACCGGACTCGCCATGCCCTCGTCAGCAACCTTTAGGAATCCGAGGGCGACTTCCTCAGGAGACAAGAGAGAGAGGCCGGAAACCTCTCGATCCTTGTTGATCTCGCTTGTCAGCTCCAAGAACTTGGCGGCGGTGACCTCCCGGTTGAGAGGCTCGTTCTCCTTGGGACCAAAAACTTTGGGGAAATACTCGGGAAGCAGTCTACCGAGGAACAAGTTTGCGTCCGTCACGGTGAGCGGGCCACCTTTGCGGTAGCATGCAGGGCCAGGGTGCGCCGAGGCGGACTCGGGTCCGACGTTGAAGAGTCCATTCTTCCAGGTCAAGATGGAGCCACCTCCGGCAGCGACGGTGTGAATGTCGAGTTGTGGTGACTGAATGGCGATGCCGGCAGTTGTGGTCTCGAAGACGTGGTCGTACACACCGGCGTAGCGCGAAACGTCGGTAGAAGTTCCGCCCATGTCGAAGCCGATGACCGGCTTACGCTCTTCGTCATCCCACGAGGTTTGCGCGTACCCAACAACACCGCCGGCCGGGCCGGAAAGAATGGCTTTCAGGCCGCTGAACTTGCGGTAGTCCACTAGACCACCGTCTGATTGCATAAACTCAATACGGGTCGCGGCTGCGCCGAAACCGCCTTTGAAGTTGGCGGAAATGGAGTCGATATATTGCCGAATTACAGGGGTAAGATAGGCGTCAGCTACAGCAGACATTCCGCGGGGAACGACGTTGATCATGGGCTGGACCTCTGATGACAGAGTCACTGAGAAGCCCATTTCTGAAGCTACCCTTCCGACCAACAGCTCGTGTTCCGGGTAGGCGTACGAGTGAACGAAGACGACTGCAAGGGACCGGTAGCCCTGGTCCCAGACGTTTTCGAGCTGCGTCTTGACCGCTGCCAAGTCTGGTCTCTTGAGAACGCGGATTGTCTCTCCGGTGACTGCTGTGACCAGCTGTGCGTCATCAGACGTCGGGGTCGTCTTGACAGATGCAGGGTCCTCGGTGTAGTCTTCCATCGTGATGCGCTCCTCGACCTCAACAACCTCGTTGAACAGGACTTCTGGTCGTGTAACGGATAGGTCGAAAATGTTGGGGCGTGATTGGTTCCCAATCGCTAGTAAGTCACGGAAACCCTTGGTCGTGATCAGAGCCACGCGTTCGCCCTTCCGCTCGAGAAGGGCATTTGTGGCTACGGTAGTGCCCATGCGGATCGACTCGACGTGGAAAAGGTCAAGCAATTGACCTCTGGGTAATGTCTCTCCGGTGACCATCTCCAGGATCCTGCGAATGCCTTCTGTCGGGGCATCTTGGTAGTTGGCAGGGTCCACTGACAGAAGCTTCAGGATGATGTCCCCTCTGCCCGGGATAGAGGCGTGAACATCGGTGAAAGTGCCGCCTCGATCGATGGAAATGCGGATGCGATGTGATTTGACCGTCATGATGTGTGAGACCTGCCAAGTGATGCGGCAAGAAAACGTGTCAAGGATAAGGAAAGATCAGTAGGGGGTATAGAGAAGATGTGAGACATATGTAGCCAAGACGGAAGTCAGGGTGAGTTCAAAAGGCCGGTGACATTCACGTTAATGTTAGGTAAGACTTGTACGCATGTGTCGTGATCATGTAATAATATGCCGCGACGGTGAAAAGATCGGGGAATTGGGACTCGGAGAAGAGCCGCGATCGGATACCTGCTTGGCCCTGAAGTTAGGTCTCTGTTTCGCCCCGCCCAGGATGATAAATGGTTTCAAACCGGAGCACATGGAGCGGCGTCAATGTCAACGTGGCCGACGGCTGAAGACCGCTGCGCCACAGTAAGTCAGACATAATTGCCATGTCGGCTTTTTGGTCAACCATCGCCATGAAGCAGCACAAGTGACAGGTGCAGCGGAGTGGGTCCCCGATCTGACATGTATCGAATGAGAATGATAATCATGGCCGATACTTGACAAGGCACAATTGTGATGGTCGGGGTGGAATTGCGAAATGGGCGAAGACTAACAAACAGGACGAAGTGGAGTTTGCTTGAGTTCGCGATACTGGCAGTCACCCGACTATAGCCGTCGGAGTGGGTCCCCGAGCGGATCATCTTATCCCAGGCTTTTGATTGGTTCCAGTATATGATTGGGTAGATGACGGATCAACCTGCAGCCGATCATCCGGGCGGCTGCGGTACGTACTAATCCTCCTCCCTCTCGAAGCAGGCAGTGGTTGGTCTGTCACAGTTCATAATTCACGATCTGCACAAATCGTGGGTTGTTTGTCGGCGACTTCCTCACTCTCCGGTGTCGTTGGCCGTGGTGGGGAATTCTCCATAAAACCCGGAGGCCCCAACCTACGTTCCCCGCGTCGACATCCCCGTCGTCGAGTGTTTCCATATGTCACTGGCTCCATCCTGAACTTGGGAAAAGACCAGAGTCCCGTCCGTCACCAGAAATATCCCTTGCCATGCCATGGGGGTCACCATCTCCACCCATGGGTGAATGTGCCAAAGACATCATCAGTACATGCCGCAACATGGCAACCGTTTCACCATCCCCGCCTCAGGCTGCTGATTCGGGAAACTCGAGGCCAGTAGCGTAAGCTTTGGACTCTTTCGTGTTGCCTGCTACCAAAAGTGTGTTTGCTGAGACTTATGCGACAGCTGTGCAAACTGTCGCCAACGGCGATCCTACTGCTCCAAAGACAAGCCGGCTTGTGCTCGATGTCGAGACGGGGGTTTGCGCTGCGCCTATGAAGAAACCAGGAAGATCACCATCACCGAGGCGTGAGTTCCACGACTGTCTCCATCGTAACCGCTAGCTGATGTACTGCGTAGCTACTTGAGAGAGCTTGAGGCCAAGGCGAAAGCTTATGATGGTATGGTTGGAGACCAAGGTTCCCCAGGAGAAGACCGAGTGAGTTCTGGCTAACGGCGGGTTGCTAGTGTCCGTTACCAGGCAGTCCCAGCTTGCCACGACTGCAAAGGTTCATCGCAACGCGGCTGAAGAACATGACGAAGAGTTCGAAGATGAGCACCCTTTGCTCGAACCGTTCAACCAACTCAGCGTTTACAAACCATCAACGAGCTTCAAAGGCCCGGGCAATTCAGACAACTTTCTGCGCAGTGTGAGGAATCTTTCTGGGTTCTACGGCGACGACGGTAGCCTGGATGCGAACACAAACTTTTATGAACCCAGCGCCTTGCCTTCGCGGCGAGAACAGTCGAGAACGCAGGTGCGGCTGCCTCCTATTGACATCGCCCGACGACTCTTTGCGGCGCAATACACATACATCGGCACCATCTTCGCCTTCACCGATCCCAAGGCAGAGTTCGACCGAGCACTTGTCGAGGCGTACCGCGGGCCGCCAGACCCTTGTGACAAGGAAGCATGTCTGTCGTACGCAAAGGTGCTCATCATTCTGGCCTTTGGCCAGCTCTACTCCGTCAACCAATGGGTTGACTTCAGAGGCCCGCCAGGCTTTGAATACTTCACTCATGCCTTGAACCTATTGCCCGACACGCACGAAGAGGGTTCGATTCTCTGCGTCGAGACCCTGGCCCTCGTCGGCTATTTCATGCAGAACATGAATCGTCGCGACGCCGCGTTCCTCTACACCGGCATGGCCCTTCGCATGGCCATATCGCTCGGTTTGCATCACGAGATCGGCTCCGGCCCAGTACAAAATCCCTTGCACGGCCAAGAGGCGAAGCTGGCGACGCTGGACGATGCGACTCGCGAGCACAGGCGGCGGGTGTGGTGGTCTGTCTATAGCCTGGACCGCATCATGTCGGTGAAATCGGGCAATCCCATCACCATCCAGGACGAGGATATCGGCGTCGACCCACCTTCGAGGTTGCCCACCGAGGCAGAGTATTGTCCGGCCGTGGTACTACGGCACTACACCGAACTGTCCCGCATCCTCGGCGAGATCCACAACACCATTTACCGCAAGTCAAGCAATACCGTCCCCAAGTCCGGGAAACGCTTGATGACTTCGGTACAAAGCATTGTCTTCAAACTCTCGAAATGGAACCGCGACTTGCCGGACGAGCTACGCTTCGACCCTGCGCGGCTCAGTATCAGTCGCGAGAGCGTCTCTGTTTTTGCACATTGGCACTCATGTATCAACATGACCGCGAGGCCGTTGCTTTTCCACGTCGTCCAGAAGCGGCTGCAGAGGATTCGCAGCAGCAATGAACCCGGAGAGAAGGAGCGGGACTGGAAAGAGGGCTTGTCGTCTGCGACGGTGAGGGTCATCGACATGTGCATTGGTGCGGCCCAGGATGCCATCAACATTATGACCATCGCAGCGCAGAGAGACCTTGTCGGTAAGTCATCCGGTATATTGATGCAATCCGTGTCATCGTGCTGACCTCTGGACCCATTAGCAACGTACGGATACATGGATGGAGAGCATATCTTTTCGGCGTCCATCGTTCTTGTAATGGTCTGCGTCGCATTCCCTACCGACTCTTCTAACATTCTGGCCATGAACGCCGGGCTCGATCTCCTCAAGGGAATGGGGGAACGGGGTAACAGTCACATGGGCGCTCGATACGAGCTTCTCGCCAACCTTCGCTCTACAATTATTCCAGGAACGAATGGTCAGCCTGAGCCCCTGCCTTCATTCTCAACAGACTTTTCACCGACGGAGTCTGCGATGCCGACGGGGCTTCCTCCCGCGCAAGTGACCATGATGCCGGCAGGCATGGGGGACAGCCATCGGAATCTCGGTGCGATGCAGAGGAATGTTGGGCAGAGGGTCACCTTCCCGGCCGTAGACAACAGCTCCCTCGGCGAGCCGTTCTACGATGATAGCGTGAGCACGGTGATGGATTTCGGGCTCTGGGAGGAGGGTTTCGCCGATCCGGCCATGGACGCAAGCTTTGATTTCTCTCAATGGACACAAACGGCGGGCATGACTCAAGCAGACGATAGGATGGATGATGTATAACACATTTTACTGGACAGTACCGAATTGCGACCCTAGTTGTCCAAAGAGAATCGGCGGCGTGGCTTATCTTGCTAAGGGGCCTAATCGTCCCATTTCCCAGGGATCTGCAGGGCTGCCTTGCGCTGATATGTAGGGATCATATCTGTACCCCAATCGGTTGATTCCCGACGTGACGGAATACTTGCCCTGGGGTGTCAACCTTACACTACCACACCGGGTCGTCTAGAAGATTGGCTGCCAGGTTGGCACCAGTATGCGGCCTGGAAGAACCGACAAGTATAGCTACTCGTCGAATAACCCTCGAACTCAGGGTATCATTTCCGCTTGGACTCCAACCTGGAGCCAATTCCCTGGATCATAGGGGTGCCACTCCGAGGCCGGTCGGTGGGCCTGCGCTATCTGCGCTATCACTCCCCGGTGGGGAATGTTCCCCGCACACAGCAGGGGTCGGTGAGGTCCTCCGATCTGACGAACCGCCGTGTGCAGGCCGGGTCGAGAAGGCCGGTTGAGGAGCTGCCGGCATGCTCCCTTGCGCGATGTTGCGTCTGATACTGGGAACCCGTACGTCAGTGCCTGCAGGGAAGCTCGGTAAGAGATAGAGCTAGCTCATGGGGTGCTGTCACATCTGCCGTGGCACGGTGCGCGTTGGTCGAAGATAAAGGCAGGTGTCTCTCCCATCCCAATGCCTGGCGTGGTGGTTTGCTTACGGTATTAGACTCCTAAAAGTCAATGTTGAATTGAAAACCGCGGATTTACATCTGCAATTCATTCCGGCTATACTATAGTGTTTTCTTGAGAGCGGGTTTTCCAGACCTCGACCGAGGCTACCCGAATTCGGCGATGGCTACAATCACGACTCCCGGAGATGCCTCTGGCGGCGTCACGGAAAAGGGATTTGGAAGCGATATCGACCGCTTAGAGTCCAACAACGGAACAATGGCGATAGAGTCACTGGACCCCGTGGCAGAGAAGAAGCTCCTGCTCAAGGTTTGTTTGTTGATTATACACCAATGAGGTGGGACAAAGACACTAACCATTGCGATTTCTTTGATATAGCTCGACGCATACTTCGTGCCAATCATCATGGTTGTCTACCTCACCTGCTTCCTCGACCGCTCCAACATCGGCAACGTCAGGGTCGCGGGCATGCCCGAGGACATCGGCGCGTCGACGCAGGAGTACTCGACTGCCATCTCCATTTTCTACGCGACCTACGTAGTCTTCGAGCCGCCCTGGACCATCATGATGAAGCGCATCACCCCGCGCGTCCTGCTCACCGGCCTGTGCATTGTCTGGTCGCTGGCCACCATCTTCTCCGGCTTCATCCACAACATCGGGGGCCTCTACGCCGTGCGCCTCGTCCTTGGCATGTGCGAGGCTGGCCTGTTCCCCGCCCTGAACCTGTACTTGACCTTGGTGTATAAGCGCGACGAGCAGGCGAAGAGAGTGTCGTATCTGTTCGTCTGCTCGGCTATTGCCGGTGCTTTTGGAGGCTTGCTGGCGTATGCCCTCCTGAAGATGGATGGGGTCGCTGGTTACGCCGGATGGAGGTGGGTGTTCATAGTCGAAGGCGTTGTGAGCATTCTCATCGCGCCGATTCTTTATTTCGGTCTGCCCAACGACCCCTCGAAAGCGTACTTCCTATCGGACGAGGAGAAGAGGATGATGAAGGTCCGTGCTATGCAGAGAGCTCAGTACATGGGAAGTGAGGAGTTCAGCTGGGATGAGATCAAGGTTGAGCTCCGCGATCCGAAGCTCTACCTGAGCGGCGCCATCCAGTTTTGCCAGGACATCTTGCTCTACGGCTTCAGCACCTTCCTCCCCTCCATCATCGTCAGCATGGGCCGCACCAGCATCGAAGCACAGTACCTCAGCATTCCCGTCTTCCTCTTCGGCGCCATTGCCTTCCTGGCGACGGCCTACGTGTCGGACCGGCTGCTTATCCGAGGACCCCTCGTCTTCCTGGCCAACATCCCCGGTATTGTCGGCTACATCCTCATCATTAGCCCCACGAGCAGTGGCGTCAAGTTCTTCGCCACCTTCCTGTGTGCCATTGCTGTGTACAACGGTCCCGGCCTCAACCTGACGTGGCTCAACGTCAACGTCGCGCCCCAGTACCGTCGTGCCACGGCCATTGGTATGCAGCAGGCCATCGGCAACTGTGCTGGAATTGTGGCAGGACAGATCTACCGGAAAGCGCCTTACCTGCTTGGAAACGCGATCTCTGTCGGGGCGCTGGGTGTCGCGCAGCTTCTCGTTGTTGCCAAGTGGTTCTACATTCGCCATTGCAATGAGCTGAAGAGGAAGATTGCGAGCGGAGAGATTGAAGACAAGCGGAAGGTCAAGACTGGTGACTGGGAATTAGACTTCCATTACCACACTTAGAGAGTTCAGAGGCTAGACTGGACTGTAGTTGCTTCAAAGTTCCTTATTAATCTTATCCCTGTTCCTATTCCTAACTAATTATCCTTAATCTGATCTCTAATCCAATCCCTGATCTTAATCTAAACCCTAATCTCTATCCTAACTAACTTCTGGATTCGAGTCCCGGCTCGGTCGCCAGGAAGTGATGACGAAGGCGACGTCTACTACCTCAACCATAACAGCTACAACTACAGCGATTGCGGTTTCGAGATCTGAGTTTCGACGCGCGGTCTAGCATGGTGCGCTGGGCAAGAGGAAGCGCAAGACATGGCACTGGAGGAAAGGAATGGACATATGAGAAAGGAAGATGATACAAGCATGGAACGCCACAACGTGGAACAGAATGGCGAAATGCAAGGAAGCTGGGGAAAATGACTTGGCTGGAATCTGCTAGGAATATGGGCGTTAGGAGGAACTGGGGCAACCTTGGGTTAGGGAAGCCTTGGGATAAGTTAAAAGCGGGCGATTTTGGTAAATAACAACAATGCCAAGGAGCGTCAGGCAAGTGCAGGGAGACAGGAACGGAATATTATATTGAAGACCTTGCCTAGACGATGCGCTTCTAGACAGCTAGAACATAACGCTCTTGGAAGTTATATAGTGGAATTCTTTTTCGACAAGAGGGATAATACCCTAGAGTGCGAATTCTTTTGGTACCTAGATGAACAGAAAAGAGGCTCAGAGTTCCTAACAAGTAGTTAGCTAAGAAGGGTAAGGGTATAGCAGTAGACATAAACACCTGGACGGCTAGGACTGTCTTGAGTTCGCCCTGTGAGGGGGATAACCCTAACCTAAAATTATTATCTACACAAACAGATTGATTACTGATTAGAAACAAGCCTGTTGTAGCATAATTCTCCTTGAAAACTCTCTGTCACTATCAAGTCATTGAATCCTTGAGGCCTTCCTATTAACTCCTGACTGTTGAAAACGAACGCAGACAAAGGAACATCCTCAACTACCTGATCTTCCCAGACGATAATTACCATCATCACCACCTAACTCCGACCTTATTTACATGGTTCAAGTAGAGTTCCTGTAAATATTAAAGGAAACTGGGATGTTAATGAGAGAAATGGGATTTGGCGGCAGCTTAGCCAGAGCTGGCGGCGGGTCCGGGTTGATACCGCTGGCAACAACACTTGAGCCGTAGGTGGCCTGTTTCTTGACAGCCGCGTCAATGGTCTTGTCCTCTTCAGCCTCAAAGGCTTGAACATCTTCAGTGTCAACATCTTGCAAGACCATGTTATGCAAATCAGAAGAAACGAGCATGCCCTCTCGCATTGTGGTGTTTGTGCCCTGGTCGTCAGTCTCCTTGGTGGATGCAGCGACGCGGTCTGCCAGCGAACCAGCTTGTCCAACAAATGAACCTCCGCTGCTACCACCTCCACCACCTCCGACAGGGCCGTCCATATCATGACGAGGAGCTGCCTTCGTCTTGGAGGCCTTCTTCTTGGCACTTCCAGGGTTAACAGTGCGCTTGAGGAGACCTTCTGAATGATTGAGAATGTCCTCGTGGTCCTCTCGAGTGAATTTCATTTCCTCCATGGCAATCTTGTGGGGTATCACTGCCTAAATGTCTCGACAATTGTATTCTCGCATCTCTCACCTGACCTCGTCCATCTCGACTATGCATTCTTTTGGAAGCCATTTTCTTGCGTGATTACTTGTCGCTGAGTTGGTGATCAGAACCTTGAGTACCACACCATGACCCTGCTGGTTCAACTCGTTGACAAGGTACCAGAGGAAAGAGACCACCGCCCCAAGACCTTGGACATGGCGTCCCACCTCCAACCAGGACACCCCTTCCAAGATGACAAACACCACCTTTCCAGTCGCAGAAAGCAGAAATAGCCGGAAGAGCGTGAAAAGAGCCTCCAGGTGTTGACCCCTGACGCCATCCACGACGCTCAAGTTGATTCCAGAAAGGTCGACCTCGCGTGGTGTCAGAAACTGGGCAATCTGAGCGTTGAGGCAACGAAGAATCCCGCTAGGCCCCGTGTAAGGATCGTTCAGTCGGTTGTGCCTACCACATAGATAGACGAGAGGCAGACTGCGGCCGGGCTGTCTCATCAGTCCCTGTACGAGTGTGCAGGAGAGCAGTGTCAATAGTGACGCCGCTTCCTGCTCCGGACTCAGGTCCATTCGCCCGTTTATATACAGGATCTGGGAACTTGTGGATTGCAACCATGCGGTGAAGCTGTTGCTGCGGAGGATGAGCATGCCGCGATTGGTCATCTCATCTGTACAGACGTTCTGCGCGTGGATGATTTTCAGCTCCATTTCCAGGAGTTATGGCACCTGTTCTATCCTGGGAGTGCAGTATACGTAAAAGACTCGGGCATCCCTCAAAAGTTATGGCGGGTGGTACGAAGCACAGGAGGCGAGTTCTGTACCCCCCTTATTTTGATTATGAGTACCGACAACGAGTACGTCGGGTAGACGGGTTTAAATGGCTACCTCTCCTACTGGACTGTTATCATCTGGACTTTGATGGTACCAACTTCGTTCGTATCCTCAAGACGTTCCAGCTTGCACATTTTGAGGATCTATCAGGCGCTAGCGCTCTCCCGATTATTCCCCTGAACTTCGCCGTAAGGGATGGTTTCGTTGACATTGACGCCATGTCAAAAAGAGGAGAAGAGTTTATCTCTTACACCAAGTGGTCATACAGCTATTATAGAGGTCGAAGTCTGACACACGAGCCTGAGGGGACCGCCCTTTGTCATCCGCAACAGAATACGATAGACTCCTCGATGGTCCTTTCGGAAGCCATTGAAAGCCCAGTCGTTGTTGATTTTGAACGTTGCTTGCGGGCGGCCCCCGCTTGGAGACCAGGACGTATACCCAGGGGCTTCTCAAGAGTATTAGATGAAAGAGCAGGAGACCTTCGCCAGCCACCTCGGCCACCTGGGCCTCCTGGGCCACCTGAACCACCCAGGTCACCTAGCCCGCCACCTAGTATTGATGACGATAGAATCTGGGACGTGCGATTAGCAGAAAAAGTGCTTGGATTCACGGACCCAAGACAACCTATCGAGCTGCATGGGCAGGATCCGCCTTCTGGAGACGATGTTCTACTTTTGCCGAACAGGGTCTTTGCATTCATTTTGCGCACTCGTAAATGGGGTAAACAAGAGCCGTATTCGAACCGTTGCTGGAAATTTGCTGATTTGAGACATCTCAGCTTGCCTCCCACTCGGATCTGGGGTTTTGGACAACCAGGCTCATAGCTTGACGCGGATGAAAGAAGACCATCAAGCGTGGGATAATCTTCATATAGACGACGGACACAGGGCAATCATCAAGTCCCTGATGGCTACCCACTTCCGCAAGAAGAAGTTGGAGCGGCGACAGTTTGATATCATTCAAGACAAGGGTCCGTCAAGTCTATCCCGGGTATTGATAGAAACGCTAACATGGAACACCAGGCAAGGGGCTTATCATCTTGTTGCATGGAGTTCCGGGAGTAGGGAAGACATCCACAGCCGGTGAGTACCCCCCCGCCCGCAGTGACACCGATCCGTACTTGTGCTAACAATAGTTGCCAGAAACGGTGGCTCAGTTCTACAACAAGCCGCTACTGCCTATCACCTGCGGTTAGTGCCTACATTAATCATACCATGTGGGCATTTGATAGATTTGCTCATCCATGCGTACAGGTGATTTAGGCATGACTCCCGCTGAAGTTGAAAACAACTTGCAGTCGTCATTCCAAAAGGCGCAGGCCTGGGATTGCGTTCTGCTGTTGGACGAAGCAGACGTGTTCCTTGCCGAACGAAGCCAGGACAACATTGAGCGAAACGCCTTGGTGTCTGGTAAGTTAATCACCTCCAGTGGTTTCGCCGAAGACTCTGTCGAGATATCGTGTGACCACAGAATGCTGATGCAGTCAGTCTTCCTCCGAGTGATGGAATATTACGAGGGCGTCCTGTTCCTCACGACGAACAAAGTCGGCTCGTTCGACGAGGCCTTCAAATCGCGCATGTCGATGGCCCTGTACTACCCACCCCTCACCCGAGAGCAGACGAGGAGGATCTGGGAGATGCAGATGAATCGTACGGAGGCGCTCTCCAGGCAGGCCTCCCCGGGGGACGAGTCTCAGCACGTGCGGTTCAACCACGACGAGGTTGCGACGCTGGCCGACGAGCTGTGGAACATGCAGACGACGCGGGACGACTGCCGGCCGGTCTGGAACGGGCGGGAGATCCGCAACGCCTTCCAGACGGCTGTGGCGCTCGCCGAGTGGCACAAGGGGGAGAACCGGGTGCCCGGGCCGATCGTCGTGGGACGCGAGCACTTTGAAAAGGTGGCGCGGGTTTCGAACGAATTCAACGCGTACCTGTACGAGGTGAGGCACGGGCGCGCCGACTACGAGAAGGCGCACGCGCGGGAGCACCGCTTCGACGACTTCAACAGGCAGCAGTTCGTCTTCGGCGGCCACCAGGGGACGGGCTTCGGGCAGCAGCAAGGGTACGGGATGGGCCCGCAGCTAGGCAGCATCACAATGCCGTTCGGCGGCGGGCAAGCCGGGATCACCCCGATGGGAGGAGGTGGCGTGCCGTATGGGAACAATACCCAGAGCCAGGGCGCTTTTTTCACGAACCAAGGTTGGCAGCCGGGGTACGGCGGCGGCGTAAGCAACACGGGCATAGGCGGCTTGAACATGGCCGGGCCTTCCATGGGAGCCAGCGGCGGGGGAAACAACATGGGGACCGGCATGTCGCCTGGCTCCGTCAATGTTCAGGTCCTGCCGAGTCACAGCATCCAGGGCCAGTTGAGCAACCAGCAACAGCAGCAACAAGGCGGTTCTAGTATGGGCCCTGGGGGTCCTATGCTGCCAGGCTTTCGGTAGAATCGAATCTGAGGAGCTGTAGTTTTATTGGTGACTCAGGCCTTTAATGATGTTTGGACCGATGATGCTTCAATCTATGTTGCCAAATTTGCCGTGGCCGCCACCTCAGTCATCTCATGTTGCGAGGGTAGGTCAGCCAGGGTCAGGGAGCATCGCGAGTCTAGACCTGTCAGCTGAGGTTACATCCTGTCGGCAGGGATCTTTTCAAGCTTTGGACGAACTCCGCTTACCCCGCCCCGGACCGTTGCACGGTTACATTCGCTAATGATGCAGTAAACTTGCAGCGTACCGGGCAATCAGCTTGGATGTTGTGAAAGTAGGCTGTCAGACGAGCTAAGCGGGGCGAAAGAGGACAAACTTGTCGATGACATTGGTCATAAAGACAGGGTCATGTCAAGTGCTGCGATGTACAAGTACTTAAGAGACCCCAGGGAAGATTGGCCAGCGAGAGGGTGGAAATGAGCTACACCCAAGCATCTGGTCCGGGCTGTGAGTCGCATCAACACCATGGCCGTCCTCCGGTCCATCACAGCCTTGACGGCTCTCCTTCTCCTCCCGCTCACGACCCTCGCCCATCCCGAGCCGTCGAACCGCACCTATGACTACATCGTCGTTGGCTCCGGTCCCGGTGGCGGGCCTCTGGCCTGCAACCTCGCGCGAGCGGGCCACTCGACCCTCCTGCTCGAAGCGGGCGACGACCAGAGCTCGGACGTGCGCACCATCATTGCTAACGGCGGCTACATGGTCACGCCCACGGACGGCTGGTTCTTCTTCGTGAAGCATCACTCGGACGAGGAGACGGAGCGGCGGAACAACCACCTGACGTGGAGGTTTGCCAACGGCTCGTACTGGGTGGGCAACGCGGCGAGGGCGCCGGAGGGCGCGGAGCTGCTGGGGGTGTATTATCCCCGCGGCGCGACGGTCGGAGGATCGTCGGTCACGAACGCGATGGCGACGTGGCTGCCTAGCGACGGGGACTGGGATTTCGTGCAGAACGTCACGGGGGATGCTTCGTGGAAGTGAGTGGACATGACGCTGGAGAATCATCAGGTCGGCTGGGTGCAACTATGCTAACGCAAGGACAGCTACAGCAATATGAGACGTATCTTTGAGAGGATCGAGAGGAACAACTACCTTGGCAGGGGCACCCCCGGACATGGGTTCGACGGCTACTTTGAGACCAACCTCGGCGACGGGTCTCAGTACACCAGCAACTCGGGCGTGATGGACGTGCTCAAGTCGCATGTCCGATCCATCGGACAAGACCCGGACAAGCTCATTGAGATGCTGGTGAGCGACGGCAACTTCCTCGGCGAAACCCGCGACACCACGGAGGGGCTCTGGGGACTGTCTTTCCATGCGACCGAGAAATGGGAACGGTACAGCGCCCGCACTCTCATCTTGGAGACTCTATCGGCCAAGAACCCGGACGGCTCGCCCAAGTATCCGCTGACCTTGTCGCCCCACTCCCTGGCCACGAAGGTCCTGTTCGATGAGACGAGCGTCGGAAAGCCTAGAGCCATCGGGGTTGAATACCTGGTTGGTAATTCCACATACGGCGCGGACCTCCGACGAAATGCATCAGGAACAGGCGAGACCGCACGAGCGTTCGCCTCTCGCGAAGTCATCGTGGCAGGCGGAGCCTTCAACTCGCCCCAGATCCTGCAGCTTAGTGGCATCGGCAACAAGCCCGATCTCGAGGCTCTCGGCATCAAGGTCGTGGCGGATCTGCCGGGTGTCGGCCGGAACCTCCAGGAAAATCAGGAATTCCCCGTTGTGGGACACGCCCAGCTCAATCTTACGGCCATTCCTGACCCCAACGAGCCGACATGCGCAAAGGGCACCCCGGGAGACCCGTGTGAAGCGCTGTGGCGGCAAGGCAAGGGGCCGTACATGCGGCCCGGATACAACTCGAACGCGCTCCTGCTCAAGTCCAACTTCTCGCTAAACGGCGAACGGGACGTCTTCATCTTCAGCTGGCCGAACGCGTTCCGGGGATTCTGGCCCCCGGTGAAGCAGCCGGAGCTCGTCGACCCGCCCACGACAATGGGCTTCTCAGTGGTGAAGATGCATCCTCAGAACACGGCCGGGTACGTCAAGCTCCGGTCTGCGGACCCGACGGAACCGCCCGAGATCAACTTTGAGCTGTACAAGGAAGGCGCGGAGACGGACCTTGGAGCCTTGGCGGAGATTGTGGCGTGGGGCCGGCGGAGCATGAGCAACGTCCAAGGTCCGTGGGGTCCGTTGGACCCGGCGGAACCGCCGTGCTCGCAGGTCAGAAGCGACGGTGGGTGTGGCGACGCGGACCCGGAGTCGGACAAGAAGTGGATCCGCGAGCAGACGTTCGGGCATCACCCGACGGGCACCTGCAAGATCGGGAAGGAAGGGGACCGCATGGCGGTGCTGGATTCGAAGTTTCGGGTGCTGGGGGTCGAGGGACTGAGGGTGGCGGACGCGAGTGTGTTCCCGCGCGCGCCGGGGGCGTTTCCGGTCGTAGCGACCTTCATCATCAGTCAAAAGGCGTCGGATGTGATTCTGGGCGAGGTAGGCCAGTGATGTAATGAGCGCCATCCACCTGAATATCCGGTGAGACGGAGCTTGATTGGCTGGCAGGCCTGATATCGAATTTGCGAGTCTGGAATGGGAGAGTTTTCACTCCAAGGGAGGCATATGGCTAATTATTCGCCTTTTTACCAAGCTCGTTTCTTGCTTTATTCCACAGACCCCAAGCCTGCAAACCCACCATTGGCCACTAAAAGCGCCATGCCTTTTTGGGATTCCCAAGCTACCTCAAACCCACCAAAGAACACACCGTGCGTCGACGCCAGCTTGCTGTCGCGTCGCAATCAAGGAAGGCTGTACTATGCACCACCGAGCAGATTACAAGTGTATGATAGAAGAGACATGACGTTGTCCGCAACCGCGTTCTCGTGTGCAAGAGGGTCGTATTCGCAGCGAGCAGCGTCACCTGGTGTTGGGAGAGCTTGGGTCCGTGGGCGGCGGGCGCATGGGACGAATCAGGAAGAAGGGAGGAAATGTCAGGGTTGCCGCCGTCGTCCCATGTTCCAGGGCGTTCTAACTAGGTACGCAGTAAATCACCTAGCTAGGTAGTAGCTAGGATAATGAAAGCGGATGCATGTGAAGGTAGCGTCTCTGCCAGATACTCAAGCAAAGGTACGTGGCTGAAGTGTGGCGCTGTTAGTGGGACTAGCTGTGGTCCATGCTCCATCTCAGCCACCCCCACCCGCCCTGGCACGAGCTCCTCATATACGTAGCCGATGACGTCGGACAGTCGCCTCTTCCCCTCCCGGATCTGGGGTCCGGCGAAGAAGCTACTCTTGTTGGTTGGTATTCCTACCTATCGTCCCTGCCTAGCATGCCGTGCACATGCCCACACATGAGCAAGAGGCCAGGGGGAAGGAAGAGACAGGAAAGAAGGGAAGGAAGGGGCTCGCCTTCGCCTTCGCCTTCGCCTACGTCCTTGTCCCTCGCCCCCCTGCCTGCCTCGTCTACCGTAGGTAATGCGTGCGAGGGGCGGGTGGGACTCTGAGCTGAGCTGGAGGCCGCCCTTCTTTCTTGCCTCTGCCTCTGCCTCTGCCCTCTCTACCACTCTCTTGCTTGGCCCAAAAAAGAAAAAAAGAAAAGTAAAGATAAACGTAAAGTGCGTCCTCATGACCCTTCATCCGATCATTTACCTTCCCTCCCACATTCCCATAATTGCTCATCAAGATTTCACTACATAAAACCATCATCCACACAATCCCGAAAACGCGCCCATTCGTCTCTCCCAATACAACACACGCTAAAACACACCGACTCGAGACAGCCTGCATTTGCTCCCTTGATACCCCCATCCACCGCTCTGCTGTTACCCCTCACAAAGCTCCCTCCTACAACGCACACTTCTTTCTCCCAACAACACACCACGCTGCAACTCATCAATCGCCATCATGTCCAACACCACCGTCTACGTCAAGAACATCGCTTCCGCGACCGAAGACAAGGAGATCAAGGATTTCTTCAGCTTCTGGTAAGTCCGCTACCCCGCCATCTCGGCACGCGTCAGCCTTCGATGGCCCGATTCTTCGACATCCCCCCTCATCATTCCTTGATCACCTGCTGACGCCCCCGTAGCGGCAAGATCACCAACATCGAGGTCACTCCCTCAGGCGAGACCAAGGATGCTGCCGTCACCTTTGAGAAGGAGACCGCCGCCAAGACGGCTCTCCTCCTGAACAACACTCAGCTCGGCACTTCTCACATCACCGTCACCAGCGCCGGTGGCGACCCCTCCGATGATGCTCCCCACCACAAGGACAACGCTAGCCGCGACTCGGATGACATTACCCAGGAGGAGAAGCCACGCTCTCGTATCCTGGCCGAATACCTCGCTCAGGGCTACGTCGTCGGTGATGCTGCTCTTCAGCGCGCTATCGAGCTCGACAGCCAGCACGGCGTCTCCAGCCGCTTCTTCAGCACCCTCCAGAACCTCGACCAGAAGTACCACGCAACCGACCGTGCCAAGGCCACCGACCAGTCCTACGGCATCACCGCCAAGGCTCAGGGCATCTTTGGCGGCCTGAGCTCCTACTTTGAGAAAGCCACTAGCTCTCCCACAGGCAAGAAGATTGTGGGTTTCTACGAGACTGGCTCAAGACAGGTGCAGGACATCCACGCCGAGGCACGCCGCCTCGCGGACCTGAAGAAGGAGGAGCATGGCGGCAGTGCCCTTAAGGCTTCGGGCCTCGAGAGATTCCTCGGCAAGGAGAAGGAGAAGTCTGTTCCTCCTGCCACTGGCGAGACCATTGGTACCCAGTCTCCCACCAACCCCGACCCCACGACCGCTGTCCCTCTGTCCAAGCCCTCGGCTGCGACCGATGAGAAGTCGTCGTAAAGGAATTGGCCATGTTTGTGGGACGCAAAAAGGTTACATGAGGGCAGGCGTTGGCTGGGTTTATTAGGCACGACAGTATAATGGCTGTTCGCAGGTGGTTTCCCCCTCGAGCACTCTAGGTATTTACAGCTTTCAATGCAAGCTTACGGCATTGATGATTTGTTCGAGTAACTTTTGTGATGCTGTGACATGTAATTGGTCTTGTTATGAATGATTTGCAGTGTTTGCCTCAATATCTGTGAAAAACTGATCGCTCGACTAATCGCTCTGGCAAGACTTTGACATTTTCCATAAGCATAAGTTGTTAGTTTCACTAAATTAGCGGTAACTAACCATTGTCCCGAAGTGAAACAAATAATCAATTGGCCAAACGTGCACAGCTTCTACTGTTGATAGCAGTTTATAGCATGCGAGAGTACAATGCATGGAACAGATAGGTTTGCACAGCAGTCAAGCCATTAGTAGCACGAATGAATGTGATATCAATGCAATTCTTTTGGCATTACTAATGCTCTATGGTACAGCATCACGATTTGTGATTTCCTTGCTAAAAATGTGTCATGTTTTCATGTCGTGGTCCACAGCTCCAGACGCCATCCTGGTATCATGTCTGATTTGCGTTTGCCGATAAGAGCAGAGCGTTTACTGGGTCTTGGCGAACTTCTCCTTCAGGTTGTCGTCCATGGGACCCTTTGGGTTCGAGGAGAGGTTCTATTGAAATCAGTTAAGGCACTTCCCAGGCGGCGCGAGACGGAGGAGACGGGGGGGTGGGTTTCAATACGAACCTGGAGAGACTCCTTGTTGGCGGCGTCCTTGTTGGAAGCGTCATCGGTACCTGTACCGGAAGCGGGGGGGCTTTGCTGCTGGGCACCGGTCTGGCGCTCAGGGGGAGGAGATTGGCGTCCCTCAGGCATGTTGAGATTTGTGTAGTTTTGGTAGGGTAAAGGGAAGTGGGATGCGGTGGTCGTTTGTTGTTGTTGTTGTTGTTGTTGTTGTTTTTCGCTTGGAGGCTTGTGTAGATCAAAGGGAGATAGAAGGCGGGACTAGAGAGATACTCGAGTTAAATAGAAAGCTACCCAGGCTGGAGGAGTAGGCACGGCAAGCTGGGAAGCTCGCTCGAGGAAAATTCCGAAGAGGGGCACAATATCTCAGCTCGGAGGGGCAGTGGCGTCAACGGGCAAGGGAAGACGGGGAGGGATGGGCAGGACCACCATTGCGCTTCTCCTGTATGACATGAGCACAGAGGTATGCAAGCTGCGGTGGCCAGTGGGTGGGGGAGGGGGAAAAGAAAGAAGGGGGTTTGGTGCGGCGTAACCTGCGCGCGGTGCGAGCGATTTACGGGCTTTCTGGCTGATTGCGGCGGTTGACATCAGTCTGTGGTGGTAATGCCGTCATGCGGTGTGCTTCCGGGAGAGCTCTGGGGAGTGGTTTGACGTCACTGCTGGGTGTTGTTGAGGTCGGTGCATTGCATTGCATTGCTTCGATGCATCGACGTGGTTACGGGTAAAATGTCAGTGCAATTGCCAACAGGTTAAACCCATTTAGGTAGGCACTGCTACTACCGCCACCGCCGCAGTCCATAACCTATGCAAAAAACGCCATTTTGGCCGCAAATCCACTACTGCTAACAGACGCCTACAGTGCCGAAGATAGAGACTTTATACCTAGCCTTTCAAGAGTACTAGTGAAACTAAGGTAGGGTGTAGAGTAGAAATAGTAGGTAGGTTAGCTGTCATAGTACTCCGTACAAGTGTTGTAGATAGTAGATAGACAGTGTAGGCAATAGATACCTCCACAGACACGTGTTTATTCACGTGCTCATAGAGTATATATCCTATTATCATCAAGCAGTGCGTTTAGGAGGCAATTCATGTAGTTGAACGTGGCTTGTTTCTTCTATCTGTAGTACTATAATCCACGTTCCTTAAATATTGCCTCGCTTGGTGGATTCCGCCGCGAGTATCCGTATTCAGGAGCGAGGGTCAGATTAATAAGCGACGTCGTTCCGGAAAGCGGTGTCGGTCGGCAATATCCTGCGTGACACCTATCCCCCAACGCCTCCCATTAGGAGAGGCAACCACAAATATACTATCTACTAGAATACCTATCTTTTATCCTGTGTCAGTTGTTTAGCTCCTTCTTGTTGCTTACCTTGTTTCACTGCTCTGCTGTTACACTTCATCTTTGCACTGTGTCACTTCATGTCACTATTGTAGCCTAGCTTCTCCTGTTAGATCTGCAACAGCTAGCAGGAAGGCTGTGTCATTAGCACACAACAACATAACTATATCTATTACTATAGCCTTAGTGCAGTTATGAAAGGGGACTAGTCTCTTAGTTAACTTAATAAGTAACCTTCTTTCTTAATTTCTATATAACTACATAGTATAAAACAGGAGATAATAATGTAGGTGTATTATGACCAAAGCTTTTGCTTTGTGGTACAGTTGGTTGCCCTGACCTGCTTGTAACAGGCAACTAGCTTTAGCTACTAATCTAATCTTTAAGCTTGCTAGTAGGGCTTTTTTGCTATATATTGTTGATAGGTAATAGGCGTAGGTTTTTTGCCCTTTCTCTTGTGTAAAAGTGTTGGTGGCGGCTGGCGGTTGGGTATTGTGAATATTGTGGTGAGTTGGTGGGTTGGTTGATAGGTTGGCGATGTTGACCGTAGATAGGCTGGCTGACTATCAAGTGGGCAAGTGGTCTAGCGCGCGGTCTGTGCAGATTTCGAGTTAAGTCAGAGGATACGGTAACGCCTCCGTAGCTTAAGTCGCAGCCCTAAGGGCTTTGTGCATGCCACTTTTCTTGTTCTGGTCACCGTGCTGCAGCCATCGCCATGCGGTTGGGACGTCGAATGCGTGTGGTGGTCCGCGGTTGGCAAGCGAGGGGTCAGTACGCTGCCCATGGCCGGTTACCCTGCACTTAAACCAGGTTACGTCGTCTTGGACACTAAGATGTTGACAAGAAGCACGATCGACGATAACACCGGCTTCCTCTCGGGCCTCGCGTTCTACACAGTCTATCCAATCATGATCTCTTTCTGTGTCCCATCCACCCTTTGGTAGGATGTAACCGTCCCTCTTGGACTCAACCATCCAGACTCTGCCGTCACGTTCGAGGGCAACAACGCCACAAATAGCGCGGCCCCTGGATGTATAAACTACAAGAATCATTATCAGTCTCTGAACCTAGATTGAGTGCTAACGGCAGACTACGAACCTGAGCCTGGCTTCACTGGTTTCGCCCATGTAAGAGCAAAGCTCATGGCGAGGAATAATAAAGACAGATGCATAGCTCGTAATTATAGGCGGCGTTTAGTGGTTCGGAAAAGGCCTCTAATGGATTAGGAGAGTATAGGACAAAATGAATGTGAACAACCCGATGACACTTATGTTAGTTCAGGGACAGTAGTAGTTACCTCTTTATAGATAATTGTCTGACAACAACTGAGATTATGTTTAAAAGGGAAATGAAAGCTATTTTTGGTAATGCCGGAATGAAAGTCCTACTTAGATTGAAGTTATATAAGAGCAAAATGTGAAAAACCTTAATAAGAAAACTACATAAGAGTAGAAGGAAAGAGGTAATATTAAAAATATTAAGCAATAACTAATCCTTGCATTGAATGGCGTGGCCTCTCTTCTACTGACCTTAGTACTATATGTTACAACCCGGTCGGTTGTATGACATTTATTACAGAACAGAAAGTAATAATACAGGTGCACTATTACCAAAGCTTTTGCTTTGTGGCGCAGTTGATTGTCCTGATGTCACACACAGGGGGCAGACGGACGGCCCGGAGCTGTGGCACGGCCCGCGTCACGTGGTTTAGCCTAAGCGAGCACGGGGCTAGCACGCAGCGCACATAATGCTATTAGGAGACGGGGAAAGGAGACTGGAGGCAGTGCTTTAAAAAACTACAAGTACAGCTACTACAACTACAAAGTATGTAGTTGTAGTAGATACTATAAAAAACTGCAACTACATGTAGTTGTAGTTGGAGTTGTAGTTGTAGTTTGTAGTTTTCGAGAAAGCTCTGACTGGAGGGAGCAGCTTTCAGCATACGCAATACCAACAACCTACCTTCCAGGTCGCAGCGTGTTCGCTCTTCACCCTAGTGACATCCAACCCTTGACACCTGACCTGCTTGTGACACAATGATATACCTACCCTGCGTTGAGGGTTATAGGTTCAAATTCTTCACATTACTAGACTAAATCCTCCCTGGGTCTTGTAACGTTCCTGACCGTGGGCAGACAAGTGTAGAGTGCGGACATACCCGATTAGTCCTTAGCACAGGGACATACTATGTACCTCTTGGAGGGGAGACATAGGGTTACGACCTAGTTGGTTACGTAACTATTCCTTTAGTTAACAAATGACCTTCTTAAACCTTGAATAGACCGACCCCACTTTATCCCCTTACTTTTAGAGATGCATAGTTACAGGTGAAGTAACAGCCCCCTTTAAGTGAATTAAGTTGTTAAAGTGTAGTAATTAGTAGTAACTTAAGTAATTAGTCTTATAGACTAAAGTAGGGTTGTATTGTGATGGGGTTGGGTGGCATGGTCTTATGAATCACGTGGTGGTCGATTCAAGGGATGGATCAATGGGATGGCCACCCACGCATTCAAAAAGGGATTCACAGACCCGATAAGAGGTCAGAGGAGGCATCATCCATCATACACACTCGTTATCAGCCATTGTTAGCAGCCTTAATACTCCATACCAAAATACACTGCCAGTCATTACTGTACTTTTATTCATTTGGTGAAACGTACTCTTTTTGCGATTGCTTTGTCAATTTGTACTTTTATTTCAAGGTCTTTGCAGGTTAGGTCTGAGAATCGCAAGACCTATCTATTGATATATTCATTGTTATGATCAGACGTTGTTGTAGGTGTGGGTGGTTTTCCCATGTCTTGCTATTCCTCTCTTTTCCTTTGTTAGGTGGTCCAGATGCCCCGCCCTTTCTCAGTATAACTACTAGTTTTGATTAGACGGATTTCCTTACTATAAGTAACAATCTTAATAATAAATATATTTAGTTAAACAGCTATACTATCCTCCTTACTTGATAAGGGTAGAAACGCCCTTCTTATAGTGAAAATCTGTAGTGTAACTGTAACTATCTAGAAAAAACATGTCTTAGAGTGATAGGCCTACCCTGCCTCTTTCCACTTCTTACGCTATAATCTAGGTTAGGATAGGTCAAAACTATTTCTTTTACTTTTTATCTCTTTTTCTTACAAGATAGTTATGTTTTTTGTGTTTTTACCTCTTTATTCTATTAGGTGAAACTGAAACCACTGTTAGGTTGACTCTGCACAGACCACACGTGCATGGTACTCTCAAGTAGACATAGGGGGGACATTATCATCTTATCCTATCGGCACAGAACGACCGCCGAAGCTAAGCCACGTCCGAACAGTGTCTCCATTCTTGGCGCCATCTGCCTCGCCGTCTCGCTGACATGGGACCTGGCCGCCGTAATGCTCCGCCGGCCGGCGATGGGCTAAGAAAGCCAACATAGCAGCCCAAACCTAAAGTCGAACGTCTACAACTATGAAGGCTTGATCAGGAAAGCAACAAGGACATTTCGGGCTGGATTCGGTAAAGTTAAGAGCAAACAGGTAAATCAGTCAATGTGTAACTTGACATAATGCTTATAAACAATGGAGAAATCGTCTCTGTCACGATATCTTGGTTGCCACTGTCAAGAATTACATTAATGGTTGCGTCGCGACGCGGTCTTGTCCTTTAATAGTTTTTCCTGGCGGTCTGACGTGGTTGACCTATGGCTGTGAATGTGCGAGGCTTTCAATACGAGATGTGCAGATAATCTCGAATCAACCTTGGCCGCTTCATATCACAGTCCAACACACATACATTACTGGGTGATTAGTGTTTGAACAGCCGTAAGGGCACCCAATCACTCAGCTAGAGTTCCTCCGTGCGACCCATACCTATGAGGAATTTATACCAAAGTATCACAGTAAGCGGGTTGCTTAGCACTGGGCTAATTGAGGCAGGCGTCATGTGACCATTATTATTCTTCAAATGATAACGACCTAGTACTGTATAAGGAATACAACAACTTATACCAGGAAATAGAGTGCCGTCTCTTGGCCTTGGTGTTGTGTGTAAACTAGATAAGGTCCCAGCTGTTCCACGTCGTACCGGTACCACGTTGCACCCTGGAGGGTTTATGGTTATTCGACGAAGCCCCTCAGTATGTGGGTTCTGAAGCGACGACGAGTAATAAACAACGGATAATCAGGTTGTAGTACCGTACGCACTGGTAAAATCCGGACAAAGCTAGAAAGCCCGCTAGCCAGAGAAAGCTAGCAGATGTCCTATAACGGCTAGTGGATTTCAGCTACGCTAGTCCCAATATAGAAGACGGTCACCCCTTCCACCCTCTGTTGCCCACTAGCCAGCCCGCCGTTAGTAGAAACACAACTGTTACGTAAGAAAAGTGATATATACAGATCCCTGTTTCTGCTAGCACACTATACTCCTTACAGCGGCCACGATACTCCTTACCGTTAGCGGGCTTCCTAGCTTTGTCCGGATTTTACCAGTGCGTACGGTAGACAAGAGTTTGCCTTGACTGCCGAAGAAGGCTAGGAACAGCAGACGAGTCATGTCCTTATGGTCCGGGGAATCAATAATGCGAAACTCTAAACCGTGGGGCCGGAAGGGGGAGACTGGGGCCGGCAGTGTGTTGTGTCACTTGGATCATGGGAAATATGAAATGCGACCAACCATTAGCAGTTAGTCAGTTTGTTTGTTTTTAGGACTGAAGACGCATAAGAGCGGTGCCTGTCTGCGTCTCACTTGATTTGGCCCAAAAGTGGCTCACGATGGCCGCCAAGGGAAAAGATGGGCTGGGATGATGGGGCGGGAAGCCACATGGCTTTCGAAAAGCGGCAAGCGCAGCGACGATGAACCAGCCCAATCCCCGTCCGTCCAAAGCTGCCCGACATGCCCGACTTTTTGCGTGAATGTGATGGAAAGAGCAGATTGCGATCAGAGCCAAACTATGGTTCTTGCCTGAACTCGCCGGAAAGGTCGCACCCGCCCTAGCTTCTTTCGTTGATGGCGCGCCTCCACTTATTCTCTCTCACTCATCTTCACCCAAGGAAGGTACCCACGAATATGACAGCTCCCAACCATCATCCATCCATCAATTCAATCCATCCCCATCCGTCGTGTCTGCTGGAAGAAGAACGAAAATGGACGAAATCAACTTTGTTTCCATGTCATTCCTCGTCGGGACTTCTCCTTTTCTCTCCTCCCAGTTTTTCATTCCCTCTATCTCTCTCTCACACCAACAGGCACACTGACCATTAACTCTACCCTACCACGCCGCAAACGTCAAACAACAAAGATTACAATTATCGGAAGCACAACAAACAACATTTTGTGTTGCTACATCTTTCGAAAGTACCCGTTCAAATTAATGGCTAAAACACAATACAATCATACTATTCATACACGACCAATCTGACTGTTTTGCAATCCAAATACAAGAACATGCGCCGAAGAAGGATTCCGCTTGTCCATCAAACCCGCCATCATCATTATCCAGTCGGAAACATGCTACAAAAGGTTCGAGTCGTATCGTCATTAAAACCGCTTATTTCTTTTTGCCGCCACTGAGAGCAGCGGTCAAGCTGCCCAGGCCAAGTCCTTCGAGCAGACGGTTCAGGCCCAGAGTGCCCAAGAGGCCATCGACAATCTTACCGAGCCCGAGGCCGTTGAGAAGGCGACCAACCAGATTGAGGACACCGGTCAAAAGAAGGCCGACGGCAGCAAGAATCTGGAAGAGCGGCTCGGTGAGGAGACCCCACATGGGGTTAAGCTCCTTCTTAGCATGAGGCATATCCTCGATCTTGCGCTTGGCACCCTCGACAGTCTCGGTGATAGTACCGGTCAACTACAAACAGGTTAGCCTATGATAATGTATTGAGTGCACCGCAAGTATCAGACTTACCTCCTTCAAACACTCGGCAAGGTGGTGCTCCTCGGGCGTAGCCTCACGAGTCTGCGACTTGGACTTGGCATTCTGTTGGATGCGGCCATCAGGGTCCAGGGCGCGGACACTACCGTTCAACTCGGTGAGAATCTTGCCACCCTCTTCAATGAGGGGCTTCACATCCTTCACGAGCTGCTCCTCATCACGCTCCTCCTTGGGCTTGCGCTCGGCAGCCTCAATCTTCTGTGTAATCATCTTGCAAAGAGGACGCAGACGGTCGAGAC